TGGTAAACTGATGCTGCTTTATGCATCCTCAAGTGTTATACTTAAAATCATAATCGTAAACACGGTGAAACATTTAAACATCATCTTGAGTAAAGCATAAACCTCACTCAAAATATATATATTAAAAAATAATGTGAGTATAAAATTATATAATTATTATAATAATATTAGTGTATTAAATTTAGAGTTATAAAAAACCTGGTTGTTTATGCGATATGTTATAAAGTTTCAAATAATTATCAATTTTTTTATTCTAGCTACAAGTTTGTTTCATTATTTTATGTATTAAAAAACTATTTGTTCTTATTTTTTTAGTTATTCAATTGTTAAATTCCTAGAATCATTATTCTTTTAAGAGGTCATTTAAAGCAGTTAAAAAACGTATGTGCTCACACACAAATATTAAATACTTAATATAAATGATTATTAAATAATTATAGCAGTGTATAAAATCCTATGTATCATTTACTGTATCTTTAATATAAAACTTGAGCTTAAAGGAGATATTTTGAGAATATATTGTAAAAAGTAAATAATTTACATATGCATGTGTACGTGGAGCGTGATTTCAACTACTGAATACTACTACTGATTAAACTACTGAGTTTGTAATTAAGACAAATGTTTCAATATTAAATTTAAAATTATTCTAATTTAAATAAAAATGTTTTTTTTTATAAAGATATGTTATTTTGAAAAAGATATATTTAAATTTCAAATTTTTTAATTGTAATATTTATAGATGGATACATTTATACAGTATCACACAGTATATACGCTCTTTTATTTTGCTCAAGGTTCTATCCAAGTGCCCTTCGATTGTTCGCCGAATGTCTTACTCTTGACCGGCATTCAAGAAGGCCACGAGACTGTTATAGCTTTGCCGCACACCATACTTGCCCGACCATAGCTATAAAACGGATCGTACGCAACATAAAAGGTCAGTGCGTGACGAGTATGCTTTCACATAATATCACATACTTAATTTAATTTTTTCTAAATTATGCTTTTTACACTATTCAATTAAATTTCAATAGTCAATAATTTAATCGACAAAATTGTGATATTGTTGTGTGCAATATTGTTGTTTTAGCTATTAATTTTTATATTTTGAGTATTCTCACAAGTATAGTGATCATACGTCTGAGAGATTTGTTTAAAGTGTTACGTTGAGAAACAAAACACGGTCTATATTTTGTTGTGCTAAATGGTAAAAGTATTAAATGTTTCCTTGAATTGATGAAGGTAAATATATTAATGCTCTTTTATTAAAAAATGTTAACTATAATTAATAATTTATATAATTACAATTTACAACAATTTTAAATAATATATATTTAATGTAATAACATGTATTTTAATTAACATATTGATAAAAATAAAAAAAATAAAAATTTAAATATAATAATTCTCTTCATAATATAAAAAAATATATATATATATATAAAGTGAAAAGGTAAACGTCGCTCGCGATATTTCAAACCGATAAAACTCGTATAATATGTAAAATATTTATATTAAATCATACATCGTTGTATTATTTTCAAATAGCGCTACAACTTTTCTTGCATCAAAATATTCACATTATTATAAAAAAATTGTGCATACCTCTCCATTCGTTAACACGAATAGCTTTTGTAAGCAACTATTATGCTCACAATAAAGTTTAGTTTGAACCATTTAATTTGATATATACTTGTTATGATCTATCTCTTTTAATTTAAAAGATAAAAGGGAGTGGCCACTTTTGGTGAGACACCCTGTATGTATAAATAAGTATTTTTTTTACTTTTTAAATGAATAATAAAATTAATATTTATATAATTATACAAAAATTATAATGCAAAAAAAATTAATTAAATTAATTGATTTTATCAACATAAATTATGTGCACATATATTATGGTTAACATATTATCACATTATTACATTATCATATCATATAATTTATTATCATATTATTACATTTTAGAAAAAGGTAAAAAAAAGGCGTCAAGTGCTTGTTAAAAATATTATTGTACACATACAAAAAACAGTAACTTAATTATTACAATTTTTATGAAATTAACATTAATCCAAAAAATTGTTTCGGATAACATTATTTTATATGAAAAGAATTATTTATGTTATTATATATAAAAATCTATTTTCTACAAAAAGCATGATATCAGAAAATTAATTTTGTTAATTTAATTTAAAATTCATAGTACATGTAGTTAACTTTCTTACGATTTTAATTGACGTCCAAAAATAATTATAATATGTGTTAATTAAAAGATGAGGCCAATTATGCGTAGACAGATCTTACGCGACGATTTGTTAGTTAAATACATGTGAATTCGAATATTTATATAGCTACATGAATTTAAAATTTTTTAATGTAGTAGACTGTAAAAACATCACGCACTAAGAATGATTTGATATAAATCGAACCATTTGTCATATTTTATATATACACTAATATAACGATTTTAATATGTAAAAACAGCACAAAAATCTTGCTTTAGTTTCTTTTACTTCTATAATATATAATTTTGTTATTGATTGTAAAAATCATACAGTCTTACTAAGTATTTTTAATTCTCCTTAATTTTGTTAACTATTAATTACTATTCAAATGTTTTTATTATATATGTTTTTATTTATTGTTAAAAAAATAAAACCCTTTTATACTATATAGTTTGCTAAATTTATTGGGAAATTTTTTTTTTCTATAAAACATTTAATTGATTCAATATTAGCTTAACAATTAGTTGAAGTATGTATGTATGTGTATATACATATGTATATGTATATGTATATATATATATATATATATATATATATATTTATTTATTTATTTATTTATTTATTTATTTATTTATTTATTTATTTATTCTTTCTCTGAGGATTACAAATAGTTTTACAGTCAACTAGTTGAACTTTTTAACAAATAATTTTTTTTCGAAAAATGTATAGATATACATTTGCTTATGCGTGTGCATGTATGCGTGCATGTGTGTATGTATGTGTGTAAAAGTACAACAACATTGTTTAAATTATTTTTCTTTAGCAAAAGTGGAAATTGCAAAACTTTTCCCAACTAATCTTATTTAAAAAACGATGGAATAGCAGGAGGATCTCAAGCCAAAGAAGATTGTAATTCTTGATATTTTTTATTGAAACCAATGTTTTAACTAAGCAGCATACGTTTCGGCTGATCATTCAGATATCATCAGTGCTACCTTTACAAAACTGAATAATTATATATCTTAGTAATTTTTTTAATATAATTGAGGTCAAGATAATAAAAATTTTTTACCTAATGAGATAAATAACTAATAAATTTATTTTTCTATCACATACTTGTTTCTTAGAAGACAATAAGTTTAATTCGTCATTATTAATAAAAACTCTTATAAAGTGATCACGTATGTGATTGCGAGAATTTCTTATTGAGGTGTTGATCGAAAGTCATCATGTTCTCAACTGTGAGTTTTCAAATTCCAAGATAAAGTATATAAGCAAACTTTTGGTAGCCCTATATATATATATATAGGTTCCCCTCTGTCTTCTATTATTGCCAACATTACTCTTATAGAAGATATAGAAGAAAGGGCACTGAAAACCTTAATTTTGAAACCGCTTTTCTTTTATAGATATGGGGATGACATAGTTTTAGCGGTTCATAATAGTGTTATCAATAAAATAATAGAAGTTTTCAATTCGTTTCATGATAGAATTAAATTCACGTGTGAAAGAGCTAATAATGGACATTTGAGTTTTTTGGACGTCGAATTAATTGTGGAAGGGGACAACATTATTACTAAATGGTATCACAAACAGACTTTTTCCGGGAGGTACTTAAATTTTTTCTCACAACATCATATTTCTCATAAGAGAGGAGTTATTTTTGGAATGGTGGATAGAGCTATAAGACTGTCTCATCCACGTTTTCATCAAGAAGATTTTAATCACATTATCAACATTTTATTGAATAATAATTACCCTCTTCCATTCATTTTTCATATTATTGAAGAAAGATTAAAATTCTATTTATTTGGGAGCTAAAAAAGACAAGGTGTAGAGGGTGGTGGTTCGGAAGATCGAAAAAATAAGTTTTTTACCATTCCATACGTCAAAGGCATATCTGAGAAATTCACGTCTATGACTAAGAAGCATGGGTTTAGGATGTCATATGCAAGGGAACTCGATTTGAGATATTTTATAAAGAGACATAAGGACAATCTAGGAAAAATGTTACACAGTGGTGTGGTGTATAAAATTGCATGTGCAGATTGCGAGGCAACATACATAGGCCAGACGAAGAGAAGGTTGGAGACTCGGATCAAAGAGCATAAAAACGACATTAAAAAAAGCACTTCTCCTTCAGTTATCTCACAACATCGGTTAGAATTAAATCACCAAATGAATTGGGAAGGAGTTAGCATAGTTGATAATGAAAAATCATACTTCAGAAGACTAACTTCTGAAATGATAAATATTAAAAGACAGTCACACGGATTAAATAAACAAAGTGACACTGATTTGCTCTCTGATTCGTATGTTCCGATTCTCAACTTATTGCCTACTTTATAAAGGTAGAAAAATAATAATTTTCTCCTTGCCGGCTGTACATTTGATTACTCCTTCTCCTTGTGTTCCCCCCTCCCTTATATCATTTTTGCCTACTCGCCTTCTGGGTTTCACATTTTAACTCACAGTTAAGAACATGGTGACTTTCGATCAACACCTCAATAAGAAATTCTCGCAATCACATACGTGATCACTTCATAAGAGTTTTTATTAATAATGACGAATTAAACTTACTGTCTTCTAAGAAACAGGTATGTGATAGAAAAATAAATTTATTAGTTATTTATCTCATTAGGTAAAAAAATTTTTTATTATCTTGACCTCAATTATATTAAAAAAAAAATTACTAAGATATATAATTATTCAGTTTTGTAAAGGTAGCACTGATGATGGCTGAATGATCAGCCGAAACGTATGCTGCTTAATTAAAACATTGGTTTCAATAAAAAATATCAAGAATTACAATCTTCTTTGGCTTGAGATCCTCCTGCTATTCCATCGTTTTGAAATTTGTGAGCCTAAACTTTAAGTTATTTATTTAAAAAATATATTAAAAGGGCTAAAAGCCAAAGCTGAATATTTGTGTCTAAACATAAACGAAATCTTTATTAACAATGTACGTTTCGACCTGTCATCAGACTATCTTCAGCAAATAACAATTACAAAATGTGATACGTTCTAACAATACACAAGACGGTTTGTCGTCATGTTTTGTCTTTTGGAAGATGTTTTGGTTATGACTACTTTTTTTTATTAATCAACATACATTAATTTATACAAAAGAAAACTCGATTGTGATTATTTCTGAGTTTATAATTGCGCCTATATATACTGTGTAATTTTAATTCACTTTAATTTATGCAAAAGAAGACTCAGTTTTGATTCTTTTTAGTTTATAATTGTGCATATTTAATTGTAATTTTTTAACAAACAATAATAGATTTTATACACATTATGTATACACACATTATGTATCACACACATAACACCGTATATCACCGTATCACGTTTTGTAATTGTTATTTACTGAGAATGACCAGATGACAAGTCAAAACGTACATTGTTAATAAAAGTCATTTATGTTTTGGCACAAACATTCAGCTTTGGCTCGTAGTCCTTTTAATATATTGTTTGATTTTATTCGTATGAGCCTTTTTAATGTTCAATTATTAATTTAATCTTATTTATTTTTATTTATCACAATCGATAATTGTAATTACATACATATAATGTGAAAGCTTTATTATAGATAAAAGATTATTTTATCAGTGACAAGTTTTTAAATATATCTAATGTATGAAAATATGTGCAAAGTTTAAAGAAAAAGTAAATATGTGTTATTAACAAAGTTGCTAACGACTTCTTCATAATTTTTAGAGATAGTCGCTGATAAAAATGGAATTGGAAACACGTCAAGAATCAGAAGATATGATTGGCAAATCATTACCATTTTTGCCTCCACCTATGAAGAAATCTGAAACGAGAGACAGCATTTCTTCTGTTGATAGCGACGTAAGCCTTTCGTTTGACAGAAGAGGTTCCAAAAGCGAGGAAGCTGATTTATCGGATTATGATAGTGAGATTAAGTCTGTGAAAGAGATTAATATTGATCAAGATTCGGGCGCTGATTCCGTGGATGATACATTAAAGGAACTGGAACAGCAAAAATTGAATGTATCATTAGAAACTCCAGCAGTTGAAAAAGTAACAGATACCATAACGTTGAATGATGAATTGGCTGATAAAATATGTACTCAAGTGGAATTTTATTTTTCTGACAAAAATATCATAAAAGATGCTTTCTTGTTGAAACATGTAAAAAGAAATAAAGAGGGCTATGTGTCTCTTAAATTGATATCTAGCTTTAAGAGAGTAAAGCATTTTAGCAGGGATTGGAGAGTGATTAGAGAAGCATTAACAAGATCTAAGAAACTTGAAATCAATCCACAAGGGACTAAGTTGCGTAGAATAGATCCTTTACCACCTTTTGATCAAACAATGCCGTCTAGAACTATTTTAGTGGCTAGACTACCAATTGAAAAATTAACAGTGGAATCTGTTGCTGAGATTTTTAAACCTTATGGTGAAATAGCACTGATAAGAGTGCTCAGACCTGGATATCCCGCACCATCTGAGGTAAAATACTTTGTTCTTTTGGTCAGACAGATTATAACGTACAGTTTTAATTTTTTTATGTACTTTTATGCAAAATTTGTATAACTTAAGTATATCAATAAATATAGGATATTCTACTTTAAATGTCACAGGCAAATATCTCAGAAATTAAAAAAGATATGAAAAAGTGTTTCCAACAAGAATTATACGATTTCGAGAGGGAAAAAAGATGATTATATTTATTTGACTCTCGAATGACCGTGAAAAGCGTTGTCAAAGTCAACATAAAAATCTTAAATGGGAACCTCTATTTTTTTATTACATATTTTTGTAGCTGATGTTTAAACATTTTTAAAACATTTGTTACAAACCTTTCGCGATTTAAGATATTTCTCATGACACCTACATCCAAAGCCAAACTAACATCTCTATTTTTTCCCCCTCTTTCATACCAAGCAGTTTATCTATGATATTTTTCTTTTATCTATAATATTTTTTGCTATGATGGGTACTTTACTAACGTATTGATGGCAAACGAATCGTTCTTGCAATGTTTGATTGCAAATATTGTCAAACCAGATTAAAAAGTTTTTTTACAGTTATTTTTAAGAATACAATCAGAATTTGCTAAGAAAAATATATATTTCCATTAAAAAAAATTTAAAAAGTTAACCATAATTTGACCTTGAAAATTTAATTAAAAGTCAAATTGAACATTACTACTAGCTTTCCTCATTCGAACTCTACAACTTGTATCTGAGATATTTTTTTCTATGATGCGTACTTTGAGAGTTAACAGTTTATAACATTTTAAATGCCCTACACTGTATATAATTTAAGCTTCTCACTATATAATTTATATCGACCCATTGCAATATCTTCGAAATTATTAGTGATAAAATATGTCAAACTTATGTACAAAAAGATGCTCAAGTTTGAACATCACGGATTTTGCCGAACTTAAAATATGTTATAATGTACCTCTCCCATTACTATGCAGTAGTTTAGGAAAAAAATTGTTTAAAATTTTTTGTGTGTATAATCTGTCTAGTCGGTGTAGAAGAAATTGACAGATAGGAAGCATAGCCGAGCGAGAAAGACGACCAGCTATAATGCTAATGCATATTTCAAGTTCGAGCCTTGTTCTTTATAACTCTCTTTTTTTCTTTTTTCCACATTTTCTTAAGTGTGCAATCAAGTAAATTATTAATTTATTTAAAAAATATTTAAAAAATTATATTTTATAATTATTAGAATTATTTGCATATTTTAAAACCTATAACTATTTCAAAAATACTTATTTGTTATAAATAAATAAATAAATAAATAAGTAAAATATTATTTTAAAATTTCATAATAAAATCAATCAACGTATTACATATACAATTACATTGTAAAAAATTATATTAAATCAAAGTAAATATATAAAAATTATATTAATCATCAATCTGTTCAATTTTATTCACAATCAGAATCAGAGCTGTCTCTATTTTAAACAAAAATTATAGGATTTTGAAGGAGAAAAAAGATAGTAATATTTATTTGGTTCTGAAATGTCCTTGAAAATCCCCAGCAAGGTCAACATAAAAATTTTAAATAAAAATTCCTATTTTTTGTTAGATTTGTAACAAGTGTTTTGAAAATGCCTCGACATTCTACAAGAATATGCAATAAGAAAGGAGAATTTCCTTTTAAGATTTTTATGTTGATCTGGATGGGGCTTTTCAAAGTCAATCCAGAGTCAAATAAATATTACCATCTATTTCTCTCTCGAAATCCTACAATTTTTATTTAAAACACTTTTTCGTATTTTTCTTAATTTTTGAGATATCTGTGGCATTTAAAATGAAATACTTAAAAATACTTGTAGTACTTTTAAGAATAATTTAATAGAAAAAATATTATAAAGTTTATTTTTTTATTAATATATAATCAATTAATGAAACATCTCCGTAAAGACAATCAAAGATTCTTCGCAATTATACATATATAAAATAAAAAATGTTGGTAACATTTTAATCTTAAGTAGTGTTTATTGTACAATTATAGCTTTTTAAAATATAATAATTTTTAACAGAATAGCGGCCATTAAAAAATTACACATTAGATTTTTCAAAAAAAATCAAATCGATTTTATTTTAATAGTACAAAAAAATTACTTAGAAATTTAAAACAACTGTAATTATATAATAGCAACGTTATTTAAGATTAAAGTGCCAAAAAGTTTTTGTTTTAAATACTTAAATCTGCTTATGCATATGCCAACTGTAATAGAGTTTTATAAATATTTTGTTTTTTTTTTTATAATACATAAATCAATTCTTTATCATTCTACATATAAGAATATTTATAAAATCATAATATTATAAAGTCATAACAAAATGAATATTTTATAAGATATTTCATATTTTATGTCAAAATATTTGATAATAAAATGCAAAATGTTGTACACAATTCTTAATAAAAATGGTTTATTCATATCATTTTCAAAACAGCTTAACATTAACTATAAAAATATAATGTTGTTATTTTAAACATTTTTTTATATTGACCTTTACGTGACTTTCAAAACCAATTCAATGTCAAAGTATTAGTAATAGTTTATTAATTAGTCTATTAATTTTTATGCTTTCGAGTAGATTGCGAAAACAAGATAATATTATTAATGAAAATATTAACATCGCATAATTGTCAATGTCACAACTTTACAATTACTATGAACAACTCAACGGTCTAGAACAGAGCTCGGAATTAGTTGCACATTTCGAGCTGATTCCCGAGACGACGCCTCCTGTTCTCTCACTACCGCCCGGCCGTTGGCGACCGAGCCGCTGATAGCTCTGGCTCAGAAGCGTTTTATATTAGAAATAGGCTGGGTTGTTTAGGCATTTCTCAGGAAATCGTAACATTATCTTTGCTATATAAATGATGTTTATTTTCATTAATAATTAAATATATGTATATATTATGTATGTAATATATATATATATTTAATTATTAATGAAAATAAACATTATTTACG